AGCCCATAAACCCCTAAACCCCTAAACCCCTAACCCCTAAACCCCTAAACCCCTAAACCCTAAAACCCAAGAGTCCCCCAGAACCGGCCTCGAGGCGCGTGGGCGACGAGATTGGCGAGTTTGAGAGCAGCGGCGAGGCCGGGACACTTAGGGAGTTTGGGGTTTAGGGGTTTAGGATAGGGTTTCCCAGAGAGCCCAAGGGACCCCTTAACTAAGGAACATACCTTAAATCATCATATCAAGGCCCCTATAATTTCAGGTAGATTCCTTATTTAAGGGGTGAGCTGGGTTTTCTACCCTAAACCCTAAGGTTTAGGGGGCCATCAGACTTGGTGGTTAGGAGTTCCGCCTTTAGCCTTACGCCTCCTAGCTTTTCTAGGTTACGGCGTTTCTGGGCTTTCGGGGGGTGGGGTTCAGAGTGTCATATGGGTAGTTCTCTAAATTAGGGCCCGTCCTTTGTACAAGGGTGCCGTACTATATTGGGGACCCCATAAGGGATTCTAATTTAGAGTGCTACCCATGTGTTTCGGGCTGTTTAAAACTTACACCCGTTCCGACGTTTTAAGACTTCGGAGAGCTTTTGTTCCCTAGCTTGTCGGTTTAGAGTTTAGGGCTGCCGACAGATACTTTAGGGTTTGGGTTCAGGGTTTATAGATAGAACGGGTATACTGTTCTGCTCATCTTGATAATAATGGTGTAGAAAGCCACCATAGCAGCGACATTAAGCGGTCAGAACACTGATTCGAGTGATCACATGACCTCAGCTAGAAGCCTTGACAATCCTTCTCTAAACCATGAATAACCCGAACATAGGGGCCTGAGTAAGATCATTCCCTGACGTTCCCTGGTGGAAATGCATGTAATTCGAAAGTCAGGTGACCCGAATCTAACGTAGACTTGCAGTAGAGCAACCCCTAGAGTACCCCCTATAGCCCCCCGTTTTGTCATCCTTGCAGTAACCCTTAAGGGAGCTCTTAAGCAAGGGCCCTTTTATAGTCACCCTTATAGAACCCCATGAAAGGTTCCCTTAAACAGCCTAAGCCCGAGTTAACCCTAAGCCCTCATCCTCATAGCAACCATTACAGGAGCCCCCACAGGCAGAAGTGGGTGGTTCTCTCAATTGGGATCCCTTTTGTCGGTCCCAATTATGGTACGGCACCCTTGTAACAAGGACCCTGAAAGGGTTTCTAACTCAGTGCCCTAAACCTAAACCCCAAACCCTAGACCCCAAACCCTAAACCCTAAACCCCAAACCCTATAAACCCTAAACCCCAAACCCTATAAACCCTAAACCCCAAACCCTATAAACCCCAGACCCAAACCCTAAACCCTATAAACCCCAAACCCTAAACCGTATTTGTGCAGGTGGTGACGATCTCATCCTTCGCCACGGAGGAAGGCCCAGCCCGAGAGCAGGGGCCCAAGAGATGCTTTGGTATCGTGGTAATGTTTTAGGGAATTTAGGGGTTTAGGGGCTTAGGGCTTTAGGGGTTTAGGGATTTAGGTGTTTAGGGGTTTTGGGGGTTTAGGGGTTTGGCTGTTAGTGGTTTTGGGTTTAGGGGTTTAGGGGTGGAGGGTTTAGGGGTTTTGGGTTAGGTGGGTTTAGGGATGTAGGGGTTTAGGGGCTTAGGGCTTTAGGGGTTTAGGGATTTAGGTGTTTAGGGGTTTTTGGGGTTTAGGGGTTTTGGGGGTTTAGGGGTTTGGTGGTTAGGGTTTCCGGGTTTAAGGATTTAGGGTTTAGGGGTTTAGGGTTTAGGGGTTTAGGGCTTAAGGGGTAAGGGGTTTATGGGGTTGAGGGGTTTAGGGGTTTACGGAGTTGAGGGGTGTAGGGTTTTAGGATCTAGGGATTTAAGGTCTAAGGGTTTAGGGTTTAGGGTTTAGGGTAGTAGTAGAGTAGGTAACTTTTAAGCTTTTTGGGTATGATGACCCCTTTTGGTTCCCTTGGGATACTGGAGAAGTAAGGTAGTTGCAGGTTCAGGATTTAGGCTTTTGGTCCCTAAACCCTACACCCTTAGTGGTCGGGTGAAGAGTCTTTTGAGTTTAGGGCTTTGGGCTTCGGGTTTAAAGTTGAAAGGTTTAGGGTTTAGGTTCAGAGTTTCAGGTCTAGAGTTTCTAGGTTTTTAGGGTACAGGGTTTAGAGTTCAAGGGTTCAGGATTTAGGGCGTAGAGTTTCGAGTTTAGGGTTTAAAGGTTCAGTATCCAGAGTCCAGAGTTACAAGCAAAGCTTGACACTTAGGGTCAAGGGTAGTTGCGGGTGTTGCTGCCTCACTTGGAACCCCCTTTAGTTAGTAAGTCTCCAGGCCTTTCCTCCAGTAAAGTAGGATTGGTGGCCTTGTAGGGGCTTATGGAGTTTCGCATAGGAATGGTGAGGTTCTTTGTTAGCTTATGATGGTGTTCCAGAAGCACAGACAGAAAAAAACAAAAAAACAAATAGTAGACATCCGGCTGTACAAGCACTCCTAAACAAGGGACCCTAACTTGGGCTTAATCTTACTGACTGTGTCCAAACCCAATGCAGAAAGCTGGTTCTAGCCACTCAGTCTTTTGCAAGCACATCTGCAGTTAACACCCTAAACCCTAAACCCTAAACCCTAAACCCTAAACCGATTAGATTCTGGTTTCCTTGGGTTTTCTGTGGTCACCCCACTCCCAGCAAATGCACTGCAACGCCAGGTCTAGCCTCCCAGCTGCATGGCCCTGAATCTGAAGCACTTCAAAGGATCCTAAACCCTAAGCCCCTAAACCCTAAACCCTAAACCCCTAGACCCCTCGACCCCTAAACCCCTAAACCCCCAACCCTCAACCCTAAACCCTAAATTCAGGCATGCCGTCACCGTCTGCCCAGGAGGGGGCGTACGAAGTGGAAATCGTGGAGTCCTCATGGCAGAGCACCAGCAAAATGCCTTGCGAACCTTTGGGCCCCTTGCCCAGGCTTTCGACGCCAAGGACGGCAAGCGCAGCGTTCATTACAACGAAGATCGGAAAGTTTTCCTGTTTTTTCCGATGGATGCTGCTAGTAGCGAAGTTCTTGCAGAACACGCAGGTTGATTTCAAGTGCGTCGTGTAGGTTGAATGCATTGCCAGATGCTCGCTGACACAGATCTATGAAATCATAGCTTCGTTGAGCCCAAGCCTTTGGACGCCGTGGAAATGACTTGGCTACAGGAAATGGCGCGCGGCTAGCCCCGTGTGCGACAGACATCCCAGCCCGGTGTATGGGTTGATTCAGCTAGCCAAAGAGACCAATACCCCTTAATTAAGAAATATACCTCTTAAATCATAATCTTAAAGGCCCCTATACTATGAGGTATATTCCTTATTTAAGGGGTAAGTTGGGCTCTCTGGGTAAACCCTCAACCCCTTAATCCTGGCCCAAAACACATCTTATCCCAGAGCTCAAGCAAGGCATCTGTGGTATCACCGCCCTAACGGCCTAAGCCCTGAAACCTGTAGATTCCCTGAACACCCAAAACACCCAGAACCTTATACCTCATAAGATTTAGATAAGCCTTGCAAAGCCCAGCAAACCTTTATTAAAGAACCGTGCAGAATGCCTGCAAACAGAAGCAAGCCTACACCCTGAAGCATTAGACCTAAGAAATATAAACTCCTGAAAGGCTAGAGGCAGCCTATACCCCCAAACCCTAAAGCCTATTGCCCTAAACTCTAAAGCCCTAACTTCCCAGCCTCTTAAGATCTTGTTAGATTCCACAACTTCGAGCCCCCAATTCTAAAACCGTAGCTTCTCGTGAAGCCCAACTGAACCGCACAAAACAAGCCCAAAAGCCCTCACGGGTGTAAAACACAAGACCTATGAACAAAACCCTACGTCCCAAACCCTATAGAGCCCTATGAACCTTAAACCGCCCTTAACCTGTGCGAAAACTCATACAGTATTGCAGAATTCGGTAGAACGCGCAGAAGCCCGAAACAACCTTCCGCATTTCCTAGAACCCGCTCAGAGTCTCGCCGATAAATCCTATAATGTAGGGGGCCTAAACAATTACCTATACTATTTTGGGGGCTCCTTATTATTAAAACTATAGTATAATGGGCCCCAAAACCCTATTCTAATTCTTAAGGCCGTAAGACCAGAGGTCCGGCGCTCGTGAGGGATGGCAGGTGAACCTGGTCGAGACCTTCAAGATGGACAGCCGCTCGATTGCTTTTATATCTAGTTCGTAAGCAAGCAGTAACAAGTAAATATTTGTCAATATATATATATATATATAGATAGATAGATAGATAGATAGATAGATAGATAGATATTGATTGTTCATTTTTGTCTGTTCGGTCTATCTATCGGTCTCACGGGGCTTTTTTGAGCGTTGTGGACTTGTTTTGGCTGGGTCTTCAAGGGCTCCCCAAGGGTTGAGGTCGTAGGGTCTGGCTTGTTTTGATTCGGTGTTTCGATTCGTGCGCATAGGGTTGTGGGTTTAATCTAGGAGCCTAACAAATTACCAATACTATTGTGGGGGTTCCTTATTATAAGCATGGTATTACATACCCCAAAACCCTATTCTAATTACGACGGCCCCTCTATTAGTCGGGTTACTCTTCTGTTTTTGTGGGTTTGCAGCTGCGACCATACAAAGAGCAACGCTCTCAGTACTATGCCTTACCACCAGCACAATTATTATAGTTCTTTCGTGTGACCGCCACTGGCATCACCACCACAGTCGCCATCACCACCAACCACCAATCTACGCTGTATCAAACGTATTGTGGTTGTAACGACAACAACTAGCACTCTCACTACCTCTGCCCTTTTCTCACCATTTCCGCTACTTCCGACACGACGACGATGACGACAACGGCACTCCCGCTGCCACTACCACCACTACTGCCACCACTGGCACTACCACCGGTAGCACCAGCACTACCACTGGCACTGGAGCCAGGTTCCGCGATAATTGCCAGTGCCTCTGCCACTGCTACTCCTACTGCCACTGCCACTGCCACTACTGCGACCAGTGCCAGTATCGCTACCACTGCCACGACCACGACCACTACCACTGCCAGTACAGCTACCACTCGCACCATCACTACTACCACTGCTGCTGCTACGGTCACTACTGCTGCTACTGCCTCTGCGACTGCTATTGTTACTTCTACTGCTCCGGTTGCTCCTCCTCCTCCTCCTGCTGCTGCTGCTGCCACAACACGACGACGACAACCATGACCAAGGCGACGACGACTGCTGCCGAAAACTCCTGACTCGCCAACTTGTGTTAGAGAACTTACTACAACGAACTCTAAACTGCCTCAACCCAAATCCAATACCCTCATCCCTCAACCCAAGAGCGATCTAGTGCCCGGTGGTCCCAGGTAACAGAAAGTCTTTGGGCCAGTCGCTTGGTGGCATTGGCATCGAGGAGCTACGCTTGTGGGTTCAGTTCGGGGGTTAAAGGTTTTACTGTATTGGGTTTAGCGGTTTATGGTGTAGGGCAACTCTTCACCCTAAGCCCAAACCCAGAACCTGTCGAAACGCGGCTTCAGAAATCAGCTTACTGCACCTTCTTCCGAGATCCTTCATATTAGAGTGTTTAGTCTTCGCAACACCCTAAACTCCTAAACCCTACACCCGTGAATCCTAGCTAAAGCTTTCAAGCCCTGAAAGCCTCATAGTAGAAGCCCAAAAGTTGGAAACCGAATAGCCTCAATCCTTAAGAGTAATGTAGAGGGGATCCCAGCACGTTTTGTCCTTAGTCCGGTTTCCAACTTTTTAGGGTTTGCTATATGCTCTAACCAGGCCCAAAGCCCCAACAACCCGAACCATCCTTGCATCACTCTATTAAGCGCTTGCCACCAAAGCGTTGTTAATCGAATATCTCTATGTCTCTATCTCTCCATGTTTTTTCCTCTCTCTCTCTCTATCTTTCTTTCTACCCATCTTTATCGATCTATCTACCGACCTACCCACCGACCTACCGACCTACCTGCCTGCCTGCCTACCTACTTACCTACCTACCCACCTACCTCCCCACCAACCTACCCACGACCTATCTTCCCTCCTACGTACCTCTACCTAACTACCGACCGACAGACCGACCAACCCACCGACCGACCCACCGACCTGCCTACCTACCTACCTACCTACCTACCTACCTACCTACCTACTTACCTACCTACCCACCCACCCACC